TTTCACCATTTGGGTTTCATTTAATTCTGGATGTAGTCAAGTTCACAACCAAGATTAGTCATCATAAGTCTACCCCTTATCAACTTTAATCACAATCATCCCCTTATGACTGAATACATTAATAAAAGCAGTCAGGCAGTAGTGGCGCACACCTTTAATCCTAGCATGTAGGAGGCAGAGGCAGGTGGATCTCTGAGTTAGAGGACAACCTGGTCTACAGAGCAAGTTCCAAGACAGCCAAGACTACACAAAGAAATCCTGTCTCAAAAAACTATAAATAAATAAATAAAATAATAAAAGCAATAGCTAAGCCATAATTACAACTAACATGATATAAGTATCCCATATACAACCACAAATACAATTATATATTTTAGAATAGGTGGCAATACCTCTTGAAGGGCATTCTTTTAGTGTCTTAAAACTTAAACATGGTAACCACTAACATTATCTTGATGTTACATTACATGATAAAGTCATAGAGGAAAGAAAACACAAATATCTGTTTAATATATTTATATCTATGCACAACATATTGTTATCAAAACAGAACAGAAACACTCAAGTTTATTTTCATTTCTGTGAAGAGACATCATGACCAAGGAAACTTAGAGAAGAGTTTCAGAGGTGAGTCCATGACCATCAGGATGGAGAACATGTCAGCAGGCAGGCAAGCATGGCATTGGAGCAGTAGCTGAGAGCTTACATGTTGTAACAACAACCACAAGGCAGGACACCAACTGAAATGGCATGGGCTTTTGAAACCTCAAAGCCCACTCCGAGTGACACACCCCCTCATACAAGGCCACACCTTCTAATCCTTCCCAAATAGTTCCACCAAGTAGGGACCAAACATTCAAATATATGAGGCTATAGGGGCCATTCACATTCAAACCACCATACCTCCCCAAACCAGTTTTAAAGTCCAAAGAACCACATAGTCCAGGTTACAACAGGAACAGCCACAGTTCTCAGGACCAGTTTTTGTCTTAGTTCATTTTCTTGTTACTGTGGTAAAATGCCCTCAAAAAAGCAGGTTAAGAAAAGAGTTTTTTTTCTCTGGGTCCCAGGTCGAAAGTACAGTCCATCCTAGTGGGGCAGTCAAGAAGCACCTGGTCACATCACCTACAACCGAGAAGCGGAGAATGCTGAATTAATGCTAGTGCATATCAGGAATGCACACAGTTCACCAGTCCCTCCCTGGGGAACAGTTCTGCCCATCACTAAGGTAGCTGTTCTCACATCAGTTAATCAAAATAACCTTTCACGGATCTTCTCGAAGACTAACTTTAATATAGACGACTACACTTAGGTATGCCCAGAGTTTTGTCTCCTAAATTTTTCTAGACTAGGTCAAATGACAATTAGCGGTAACCACACTTCTTCTTCTTTTTTTTTAATCCTCCATCACACTTCTTTTTTTATCTGTTTATTTGTTTTGTTTTTGTTTGTCAAGATAGAGTTTTCCTGTGTATTGCCCTGGCTGACCTGGAACTTGCTATTTAGACCAGGCTGGCCTCAAACTCAGAGATCCACCAACCTCTTCCTCCCAAGTGCTAGGATTAAAAGGTGTGTATCACCCTTGCCTGATACCATCACACTTTTAGTAGTTATAGAATTTCATGCATGTCTATGAGAGGGCACATGGTAGTAGGAGCTGTTTATTTTTTTCATTGTCTATTGCATCCCCAAATAAAAATGATAATACTAACTTATTATAAAATGAATTACCTTTAATCGGTCCTGTATAAGTTCTTGTACTGTATTGTGACAAAACTCCTGAGAAGGGAATTTAAGAGAACAGGGGTTTATTCTGGGTTTAGTTCAAGGTTGCAATCTATCATATTGGGGGAAGCTTGACAACAGGAGTTGGAGGCAGCCACCCACATTGGTTGAATCTGCAGTCAGAAAGCAGAAGGCAATGAATTCCAATGCTTAGTTAACTCTGTCCTCTGAATCCACTTTCCTGCAGCCTAGTGAATGGTGCATCCCACATACAGGGTAAGTCCTTCTGCCTAAAATGTAAAAGATAATCCCAGACATACATAGCAAGAGTCTTGTCTACTAGGTGAGTTTTAGATTCTGTCAAGTTTAAAATCAATAGGTACCATCAGGTCTTAAAAAAAATAAAAATGATTATTTTGTTTTATTTTATGTATATGGTTGTTTTGCCTGAGTGTACATCCATGTAATGCGTGTGTGCACCTAGTGCCTGCAGAGACCAGAAGAGAGGGTTTGATTACCTGGAATTGAAGTTGCACAGTTGTGAGCTGCCTCACAAGTGCTAGAAATCAAATCCAGGTCCCCTGGAAGAGCAGCCAGTAATCTTAACTGCTGAGCCATCTCTCTGGCCTTACATCACAAGTCTTATCAAATTATTATTTAAGAATACTCTATAAGAAAACAGGTACACGCTTCTAAATGTTGTTTATAGTGAATCACAGAGGCTATATTCAAGTCCCTAACAAGTTGTGAGAAGAGTGATTCAATACTATCCACTTGTCTTAGTCACTGTTCTATTTCTGTGAAGAGACACCATGACTATGGCAACTCTTATAAAAGAAAACATTTTTTTCTTTATTAAGAAATTTTCTACTGCCTCTACATACCACCCACAGATCCCACCTCCTCCCTCCTCCCACCTCCCCGCCTTCTCTCCCAAGCCACCCCACATCCCCACATCTCCCAAATCAAGGCCTTCCATGGGGAGTCAGCAGAGCCCAGCACACTGAGCCTAGGCAGGTCCAAGCCCCTTCCCACTGCACCAAGGCTGTGCAAGGCATCACACCACAGGCACTGGATTCCCAAAAGCCTGCCCATGCACCAGGGATGGATCCTGATCCCCCTGTCTGGGTGCCCCCCAAGCAGTTTGAGCTATGTCCAGTCCCATGGGGGCTCCACAGCCACTAGTCTACAGTTCATGAGTTTCCTCTAGTGTGGCCAGTCATCTCTGCATGTCTTCCCATCATGATCTTGATGTCTCCCGCCTGCAGAATCCCTCTTCTCTCTCATTGATTGGATTCCCGGAGGTCAGCCTGGTGCCTGGCCATGGATGTCTGCTTCTGCCTCCATCAGTCACTGGACAAAGGCTCTATGATGACAGTTAGGGTATTCACTAGACCCGTCGCCAGAGTAGACCAATGGCACCCTCTGGACCACTGCCAGCAGACCAAGGTGGGGTCATCCTTGTGGATTCCTGAGAGCCTCCAGAGTACCCTGCCTCCTCCTATTCCCATGATGTCCTCATCTATCATGGTATCTCCCTCCCTGCCCTCCCACTCTGTCCCTGTTCAGTTCGACCTTCCCATTTCCCTATGTTCTCATCCCCCATACCTCACCCCCAGCCACCCCCCCACACCCAGTCCGCTCATGTAGATCTCATCCACTTCTCCTTCGCTGGGTCATCCATGTGTCCCTCCTAGGGTCTTTCCTTGTTAACTAGCCTCTCTGGAGCTGTGGGTTGCAGTCTGGCCATCCCTTAAAAGAAAACATTTAGTTGGGAGTTTGCTTATAGTTTCAGACATTTAGTCCATTTTCATCATAGTAGGGAGCTGAAGCAGTAACTGAGTGCTACAACCTGATTGGCAGGCCTGGGGGCATGGGGGAAGGAGGGGGGAGAGAGAAGGAGGGAGGGATAGAGGGATGG